GCAGTGTTTTATTTTCAGGATGAGACAGAAGTGAGTTTAGCAGAGCCAAGTGCAGCCACACATTGTACGATAATAACATCAGCTGTGTGTGTGTTGAGCCCATCCGGCTCTGCTCTTTGTTCTGATATTGAATTAAGCAGTAACAGAACATGTTGTTGTTTTAGCCATTAGCAAACAACCGCTCACACACACACACACACACACACACACACAGAGTTGTTAGTGCAGCAGCAATAGGGGCGTTTGAACCCGAGCAGCAGAGGCTTCATGTACATTTTCATCTGAACTCATCCAACATAACAGTCGGATGTTTTGGGCTCATCGATGATGCGGCGGTATGTGGGTTTTGTCTGTTTCTCAGATGGTCACGTGAATACAAGGGTTGCTTTGAAATGAAGGTGCCGACTCACGTGCTGAATAGCGTCATGTTCTTTAATATAGGTCTGATTAAAACGGTCGGTCGCTTCAGTTGATGACAGTCCATCTGACCCCCATCAGCACCACAGATCGACTCTGTTCAAAAGTCCTTGTCGTCCCCATCCGGAGATGTTTCCTGTTGTTTTTGCTCTTCACACTCAGAGGCTGATTGCAGTTACAGTCCAGGATCAGTCATGAGTGTGTGTGTTTCATCGGTCTCCCATATCACTTTTGCTGAAAGCTGAGAGAAAACCGGAGGAGCCAAACAAAGAGGCGTTGGAGAGGAGGGGGCTGGATTGTAGCAGAGGGAGAGAAAATAACAGAGCTGGAGGATGATGTTATGATCTGTTTGGTGATGAGGCTGTAAAATTCATCCAGCTCCGTGCTGGTTTCTGTGAGGACAGAAGAAACAGACTGATGGTCTAATGATTCTTAGAACCAGTATTGTAGCTAGAAATGCCACGCTTGTGTAAATGTAGACAAAGGAAAGAAGCGGTGCAGTAGATTTCCCCAGCAGCTATTTGGAAATCATTATCTTGTGATGTTTGTTGGACAACAGGGGGAAGCTCTCAACAAAACAGGGCTGAAATACTGCACAGCTGGCCTGTTTGACAGACACAAGCAGAGTCATCTGGCAAAACAAGTTGAATCTTGAGCTCTGTTAATCCCCTCGTCTTCTTCTCCACTGGTTTAACGGCACTGGCTGGAGAATCGGCTCTGCCAGCTGTTTAATCTCCATCAGCCTATTCTCATAAACCAGAGGTGGATGGAAATGAGCATTTTGTTCACCATTTTCTGCAAATTCAGTTGAAACTTGCACTAGGATGGAAACTTGACTCCCTCTCTCCCCCTCCCTCACTCAGTATCTGGCTGTGGATGTGAGGAGGCTGAACGTCAGTCTTCTTCGCTGGTTTCGCGAAGGTGTAGCAGCAGCGCTGGGTGTTCCTGCAGGCCGTGTTCACATCAACCGGCTGAATGTAAGAGACACTCCATTCAAATATTATACTCTGCTGATCTATTTATTGCTTGATTGATTGATTGACCGATGGACTGCTCTTACAGGAGGAGAAGAATTGCATTGAGCTCTTCGTGTCCTCTGATAGGCTGGGGATCTCTGAGCCCCGCCCCGCTGAAGAGGTCCTCCAGTCACTGAATGTCCGAGTCCTTCACCACCACCTGGGACATTTCGGTATCACAGAGGTCTCGACTGAGGTGTGTGTTTGGAAACTGTTCATGTGCCTGCTCGTCTGTCTCCTAGGTGACCACAGCTCATTAGGCAGCCTCGTTAATCTCCGTGGAGACAGACTGATAGTGGATGGATTGGGATTATTAGAGAGCAGAGTGCTGCTGCTAAATGTTTAATGGAAGTATTAAAGTTCCATCGATCAGCCTGAGGAAGAACAGAGCCTCTTTATATATGATATTAATATTATTACTCTCACTCCCAGCTGTGAGAAATGTGACAGCTCTACTGTAATAATATTACCATAACAAATCAGACTCCTCCAAGTATCAGTGAGGAGCAGGAAGAACAAGTCCGGTTCTCTTCTTGCTGTACAGCGGTGGTTCTTGACTTTTTTAGTGCATGTCCTTTGGAGGATGAAAAGACTGAGTGTTTGGAAAGAGGGTAGCACAACCACAGTCCTTGTTAATTTGTCCTCCATCTGCCCATTAAAATTAACTGAAAACCAGCACAGTACTTCTGTTTTGTTAACATAGCTGTACTGTATAGAGAAGGTGAAGTTGTCATCATGCCGTGTGGAATTTTGGGCAAATGTGTCATTTTGGGGATCACACTCATGGAGTACACTACATGCATCTATAAGTATCTATAACAATTTTTTTAGCCAAATAAACCAAGAGTGCATGCAGGTAAATACAGCATTCAACATGACATGACGTTGTCTATATGTCTAAGTTGTATAATGTAGGAAGAAGAATAAAAATATTAAAATAAAGTTGGGTTCATGAATCCATAAGTCAGTCAGGTTGGACACTGTCAGAGTGTCACAGTCCTGCACAGACAATCAGAAACTAGATTTTGAAAATATGTGAATTTCTCTGTTTTTCTGTAGAAAAACGTCCTGCAGGGCGAGCAGAGGGGACACGTGTGGAACAGAGAAGGTTTTTATGCTGTCGTCCTCTTCTTCACTATCTTTGTCATCGTCATCACCTGCTTGATGGTAAAATACACTGCTAAACACACAGGAACCTAAATCTAAACTTAATTCTGAAACCAAGTGTTAACCCTCAAACCAGCGTCCTGTACAGAGCTTTGCAACTTTGTAAACCTGCAGTTGCAAAGCTCTGTATCGGACTTGACCCGTTACCTGCAGTTATCTCTGATCTGAGACTAACTTAGAGATGATGTGTTAACCACCACATCCCGTGATTTGTATTCCACCTCAGCCAGGCCTTTGTGTTTTGCACTGCTGCACAAACATGAACCAAAAGAAGCAGGTGTACTTGTAAAAATCTGCTGCTCGTCTCTTGCTGTTGAACATGCATGAGTAAAACAGGGGCCAAGCAGTACAACTCAAAGTAGTCGTCACAAACTAGAAGTAAGAATGAGGTCACTGTGTCCTGGCCTTTAGACACACACACACACACACACACACACACACACACACACACACACACATGAGTAAAGCACTGTCGCCTAGTGCTGCTCAAGGGGATTTGTTGGGTTTTCCCTCTGTAATAATAGTGATAATAGTAAGGTCTAGACTTTGTAAAGTGTCCTGAGACGACTTTTGTTTTGATTTGGTGCTATACAAATAAAATTTGATTTGATTAGATATTTTTACAAAAGAACTACACGCACACGCTGCTTTGTTGTCATACAGAAAAGGTACATTATATTACACAACAGTATCCACCTCATCTACATTACACATAAAATGCCATCGCAAGGAAGCAGGACTGGGAGAAACAACATTGCATGAATATTTATTTGTGTAACATTCAATAATTATATAACATGAAAAGAGCAGAAAAATAAAATCATAACAATGCAAATAAGAACAGCATATAGAAATATAGACAAATATTCCTCTCAGTCCTGTTTTGTTTTGCTCTGTCTGTTGCACTATGACATTTGAGCCACACGAGGGTGACCAGACACCACAGTGAGGCACTTGGAGGTCCGACAGGTCGATCAGCTTTATATGATGTTTCCAAATGTGTTGTCTTCACTGTCCTGAAGTTTTCTCTGAAACGATACTGCACACACATTTCTGTCAGTGCTTAGGACGGTGCTGAGATGTGATGCCTGACCTTAGACCTGCTTTGGAAGGACATGGCTATTAGCTTTATTTTTTCTCTTTGGTTGGCATTATGAACAGATTGTTTTAACAACTTCTGGTCTGATCTCCAGGTTTTGTATCGAATTAAAGAGAAGGTCCAGGTTTCTGCTAGACAGCTGAAAGCCCTGCCCCCTGACCTCCACCTGACTCCAGCAGCCCCTCCAGACTCCGCCCAGAGGTCAGACACCACCAAGGTCAGCGCCTGGCACCTAAACTGTTAGACCACTAACATGTAAAACAAAAAGCCCATAAGGACTGCTGAATGCCCCCTTTCGTTCTCCAGTTTGTGTTGTCGGGAAGCATGGTCCAAGCTGAGCCTCCGCTGGCTGTAGCCACACCCACTCCCCAGCAACAGCCAATCATAGGCTGCCACCACCTCGCTCCACCTGTTGTCCCTCTGCCCAGGTAATTTAGCAAACAATGCAGTGATGCCAAAGTAACCAAATTTCTGAATTATTGCCAAAATATTCTAAATACTCTGGGCAAATATACTTAAAAATTACAAAATAATTGTAATTTTTAAGGAAGGATAGTTAAACAGCTGGGCGGTGCTAATAAAAATGTGATATAAGAACCTCTAAATTCAGGCACCTCATCATATTTCTCTTCTGTAGCCCCGCCCCTGTCCCAGTTGTCAACTACAACAGCCACTCTCCCCTCGCCAGCGTTGCCCCGGTGACGGCCAATAATGAGCTAAAGCCCTGCCCCTCTCCGTTCAGGATGAAACCTGCTGCAGGACTGCAGGAAAGGTAAGAGGAAGGAACAGGTAGAAGTTTAAAGGTGTGCTAGCCCCGGCCCCTTAATCAAGACTGCAAGAAATAAATGTTAAAGCTATAGGCCTGATCAATTCTGTTGTTTTAGTCAGAGCTGGAACTCAGTGCTAATGAAAAGCTGCATAAGCATTGAAGTACTCCTGCCTTTGTGCAGGTAATTCTTCTTACCTGCTGTTTTTTGACACCTGTAAGCAAAGGTTGAGCTACTTTCTGAACAGGACAGCAAAACAATACTGATTGAACTTTTGCATTTAGTACCATTTGGAGGGAGGAACAACTGATGAGCCCTCAGATTGTTCAGCATGTTTAGGAAGGGAAGCACAGTGAGTGATAAGCACAGAGTAACCTTTTACCTGTGATTGTTGGAGCCACCAGGCATCGGGCTGTGTACGTGCTGACAAGGACTCTTTAAACAGAAGTTTGTCTCCTTTCAGAAATCTCAGCACTCAACAAGTCAGATAGCTTAGTAGATTTCCTTCATAAACAATGTGCAGTGTGCGTGTGTGTCTGTCAGATCTGCCTGTACATGTCCTCAGGCTGCAGTTTATGTAAAAGGTGGCATCTTATTGGACGCACTTCCTGCGTAGCTGCGTTTTTCTGGCACAGTGAGGAGTGACTTCATGAACTCTAATAGTCTAAATACTACCCTTATGTCTGCTTAAAGGACCTTTAGCCCCACTTCCTACAATTCACATAAATGTAACATAACCGCTCAATTTTCACAAAGAATACCGTTACTTTATAGATGGCCATCTTTGTCAACGTACCTTTGACTCCGGACATCTACCCACCCATGACCTTGGACTTGTCTAATGAACAGATGGAGATGATAAGAAACAGTCCTTTGTAACATTGAAACAAACTGAGGTGGTTTAACCTGAGAGGGAAGAAGAATCTCAGCGATGCAGATGAAAGGAACTGTGACTGTAAACGGTCCTAGTTGTCGACACCACGATCTTAGCCTTGCAGATAGTTTTGGCTTTATGTGGCCTGACTTGGAGCTACAGAATGAATGAGTGGGGAAACGTGGCCAATATAGATGCTTTTATGTCTGTGGGAAAGCTGTGGACCGCCATGTTAGACAGTCGGTGCTTGTCACCACCATCTTCAAAACCAGGGAAGAATGATAGTCAATGTCTGTCTGTAGCTTTTTTTCTGATTTCCCACTTCAGTAGCTTTGTAGCTGCAAAGAAAACATCTTTATCTGTGCCTAAGCACAGTTTCGAGCACTTTAGCCTTTTATCTGCATAACTCGTCCGTTAACTTGCAGCGCTTCCTCGGCTCAGACCTCGGAGGCCATGTTGTTCTGGTTACATCAGCTTTCAGAACGAGGGTGTTGGTGAGGAGCACATTCTGTTTCTTAAGGTAAGAAGGATTTCAGGCCCAGAGTGTGAACAGGATGTTTTTCTTGGTGTCTCTTTTCTGTGTGCATGTTGTCCACTCTGGATGGCAGCCAATCACCAATCACACGAATGGGAGGAAGCAACGTCTTAGGGAGGAACCAGGCCAACACGCAGCCACACACACCACATGAAAGCACACCTTGTCTTCTCTTCATGGCCTTCCTCTGTTCTGACACTTTACTGGGACAAAATAATTGGTATTTCTCCTGCAAGAATGAAATAAGTTCAGCTCAAGGTCAAGTGTTTATTGTCATATGCACAGCGAGGAGACGTGTTTCCCTTTACAATGAAATTCTTACTTTGCTGTCCACACGAATGTCACACAATACAAGTGAAATATAACACTGATACATAGGTAACACAAAATGTAAATCTCAAAATCTAAAATCTAAGGCTCTGTAAAACAACCGGTGAAAGAAGCATAATGAAGAATACAACAAGAACATAATACAATGAAGAGAGAATGTAGGCTACATGGGAGCTGTGTGTGCAGATACTCAGCAGTGAGTGTGCAATTATGCATGTGCAAACTGAGTGTGTAAACTGTACAGGTGGAATTACATGAGGCAGTTCCTGAGTCAGCTGTTTAGAAGTCTGATGGTAGTTGGAGAGAGAGTTTTTCAGTCTAGAGGTCCTGCATTTCACACTTCTGAGCCTCTGACCAGAGGGTAGGGGTATAAACAGTCCGTGCTTGGAGTGGGTGGGATCTTTGAGGATGGAGGCAGCTTTCCTATGCACCCTGCGGTGGTAAATGCTCTGCAGAGAGGGCAGTGGAGTCCTAGTGATCTTCTCCGCAGTCTTTACCGCTCTCTGCAGGCGCTTGCGGTCCATAGCAGTAGTGCTGCCATACCAGACGGTGATGCAGCTGGTCCAGATGCTCTCCATGATGCAGCTGTAGAAGTTGCAAAGGATCCTAGGCGACATGCCAAACCTCCTCAGCCTCCTCAGGAAGTACAGC